CGGGGTTGAGGAGCGGCCGGAGCCCGGTCAGCACGCTTCTTCCCTGCTGCGGCCGACGTCCAGGAGCTCCCCGGGCTTTTCAGCGCACTCTGTGCCGTGGTTGTTCCGTAAATAGGACCAGCGCAGATTTCCGCAGTTATTTTTTCCTAGTTAAAGTCTATGATGCGGTTAAAATCCACAGGGATTTTTTTTCTAATAGCACTTGTTTACGGGATTAAGCTCTCTGTTGTTTGATACTTATTCTTTCTGTATTTTTATAGAAAAATGGAAATTGCCACCCCTCCAACATCAAAGTGTATCATATACTGGAAAAGAAAAGTCAAGTCTGAATACATGCGTCTTCGGCAGCTCAAGAGGTTTCAGGCAAACATGGGAGCTAAGGTAAAGACGTTATGATGGTAGCTCTAGCTGAAAGGATATCTCCTAAAGACTTCACTTTACCTTACCGTATTTGAGCAGCTATCAGATGGGTGCTTCATCCTGCAAGTTGCAAAGTTATATTTCAGTTGTAAGCTGGATAAGTTTGAATTGATACTATTTCTCCTCATGCTCCATTATTAGCCTAGAGCTGTGCAGTCAGTGTCAGTTGTACAGACAGAGAAGTCTGTTGGCTGAGTGCATGCAGAATTGCAGCGAGAGAACTCATTTCCACTTGTTTTTTTAAATTACCTCCTCGCTTGAACCCTCTCAGTGCTGGTGGGTTTCAGATGACTTACTCTGATGCTCCTCTCCTTGGCAGGCAGGATTTTAGAAGAGAGCGGCTGGGATCAGGAGTTGTCAAAAGCTACTGGCTGTTAGGTAGATTTTCAACACAGTATTGTACCAATGCTGAGTTTAGCTAGAATTTCTTCTAATGAGTATTGTCAGTTTGAAATGCTCTGCCTTGCACACATTTTGATACTTGAAACAAAATCTCAGGAGGGGTTTTAATGTTCTCAACATGGTTTCTTAAATTTTGAGTGCTGCTTTCTCTCATTGCAGGCCCTGTTTGTGGCCAACTTTGCAAAGGTTCACGAAAAGACTCACATTCTGAATGAAGACTGGAAGAAGCTTCGAGTCCAGCCGGTGCAATTGATGAAGCCAGTCAGCGGGCACCCGTTCCTAAAACAGGTGTGGAGAGGAAAAGGGGCACGGCAGCAGCAAGGGTGGACTAGAACCAGGTGGACTAGAAACCACTAGAAACCGTGCCTCGCACTCTTCTGGGATGCAGAAATTGGAAAAAAATCCCAAACCTGAAGGCCTTCCCTGTGAAGGAGTCCCAAGGGATGAATGCGGGGCTTCACTGTGTTTGTCCTGAAGTGCGATTTCCTTCTGGCTCTGACTGCCTCCCGGGCATGGTTTCCTCACTGCCCTTCTCTGTACTTGTATTCCAGTGTACTGTTGAGAGCATTTTCCCGGGATTTCCAAGCCAGACGCTGTACATGAGGACCCTGAACACGGTGGCGCTGGTGCCCATTATGTACTCCTGGTCCCCTCTTCAGCAGAATTTCATGGTATGTAGGAAGGCTCTGGGACGCAAGGTCTTGGCGCAATTAGTGTGTAATTGTTACGTGGTTGTGGAATGATTATACTTCTTCAACCCTCTTGTTTCAAGCGATGTCCGCTCGAGAGATGACGGAAAGTATTGTTTTAGTTGCTTGTTTTGTTGAATCCCATAAAACAGCCTTGTATCCACACTGTCTTACCCAGCTAGTCTCTCCTTTACACCTGACTCCTTGATAGGGCCACCATTAGTTCACAGGATTCAAGGAGTAAATATGTTTTGGGGTTTTTTTTTGTTTTTTCTTAAGATTTTTTCTTCCCTTTTAAGTGAAGAGTTTTATTTCTTAGGCAGGTCCTTTCCTTTGTGACTGGATTACCCTGCTGGTCTCGTTGTAAGGATGCTACTGAGGATCAGTTCCTCTATCATGGTAGCGTGGGGAGTGATTTAAATGCAGATTTTGGTGTGGCATAGTTAAGATTATTTGTTAAATAAACAGGTGGTCTGTGGCTAGCCTGGCTCTTTGTGTGCTGTGGGATGTGGATGTGTTCCTGCAACCTGCAAGGCTCTCTGAAGCCTCCCGTAGCAGGCTGGGGAGCCGTGTGACACCAGCAACTGTCATGCAAAGAGTCAGTCGGTGGTGCCATGGCAATGAAGGTCCAATGTCCTTGCTCCTGTGGTTAATGCGAGAATGGTCCTCAACTTTGGCTGTGTTCCTCCGGGGAGTGAGTTACCAGTTTGCCTTTCACTGTTCCAGTTCTACTCTGCCTTGAACACAATCTCTCCAACATGTTTTTGCTGTTTATTATTCTTGGCAATGTGTGTGTTTCTGAGTTTCTGTAAGCCTTGGAGGCACAGCTCTTCTTTTTTAAAGCAAATTGCACTTTCAGGGGTCAGAGTTATGCTGCTGGCATGGGATAACAATGAAATGTCGGTGATGAGACATCTGAAACTGCAGCCAGGGAGGCTGAACCTTTGCTTTGCACTGTGTTTGTGGGTCTGAATGGACAGGAGCAGCCTCAGAGACACAGCCTGGCTGGGAGTCGGCACGTGCTGGTTTTCTGAATTGTATCTGATCTCTTTTCAGGTGGAGGATGAAACTGTTCTGTGCAATATCCCTTACATGGGAGATGAGGTGAAGGAAGAAGATGAAACTTTCATTGAAGAACTTATTAATAACTATGATGGGAAGGTTCATGGAGAGGAAGGTAACCTGGGAGCAGTTAGCACTGTCTATTCAGTCTCTTGCAAATAACATATTAAAGTAGTTAAGAAGTCAAAAGGTGGCAGCAGTAACCAGCTTTTCTGTGGGAGCTCTTAGAGCAGAAAAACAGGAACATGCCTGCTGTTCTGGTTTGCAAGAACACAATCCTGCCTTTTGATATCTCGCTCCGTTCTAGGCCTGGGGTGCTCTGGAGCCGATGCTCTTGTTCAGGGGAGTTCCCAGGAGTGCTCTGGGGTGCTGAAGAATGTGTTAGAAGTTAGGAGCAACCTCATTTTGCTTGTGACCTTAGCCAAGACTTTAATGAGTTTTCAGAATTTTTTTACAGTGCTGCCTACCCCATCATAAAACTCTGCCTGGAGGGAGGAAGGCAGTGGAAAACTCTGGTATGGTCTGTCCTCAGATTGCTAAGAATGATACACTGCTCTTATGACTCTAGCATTAAAATCCCACCTATCCCTACAAAATTGTGAGGCAGGTTCTAGTTGCTAACAATGTCACGTGGCTGGCTTGTGATTTACTACCATGAGGAGTGTGAAAGATGATGGCACACCCAGAAACTGGCTGACATCTCTGTGTTTCAGAAATGATTTCAGGGTCAGTCCTCATCAGCGATGCTGTGTTTCTGGAGCTAGTGAACGCCCTGAATCAGTATTCGGACGAGGAAGAAGAAGGACACAATGATTCTGAGGTTAAACAGGAGGATGGGAAAGAAGAGCTGCCAGTCACAAGGAAAAGAAAGCGAATTGCAGTGGAAGGTGGGCTTGGCCACAGAAATTGGGGCTGTGTTTGTCATGTTTCCATCCTGCCCTGCCTGAGTAGCTGGCCAGTGCTCTCCTGCCATCACTCTTGGTTATTAATGTGTCGCTAAGGGCAGTGACCAGCTTGGCAAGTTCTGGTACGGTAGTCGAAAGCAGAAGGGAAATTGGTTGTTCTCATTGTCCCCTGTGGACAGGATAAGAAGTCATCAGCTGGAAGTGTGGCGAGGAATAATTTAGATAAGTCATCTGGAAAACCATTTCATGGTAAGATTAGCAAAGCAATGGGGTATTATCTGAGAAGATCTCTGCTCTTGGAGGTTTTAAAGTGCCGGTCTGGCAAGCATCTGTCAGTGAGTTTGTAGGTAGATCAGATTCTGCTGTAGGCCAGGGAGGTGGACCTTTCCAAATCCCTTCCAGACCCGTTTTCCATATATTAGTGTTCCTCTTCCCTCTCCTGTGCCACCTGGAGTTCTTGTTGCATAGAGGAAGCTCTGGTTTATGGGATTTTCATGTGTCCTGCATGACCTTAGGAATGCTGACTGGTAGTTTTGTCTGTGTCTTTGGTTTATAGCAATACGGGTAGCACAAATACCAGGACCTTTCGTAGATGTAGAAAAGCATTGTCTGCAAATCCTGTCTTGGTAAAAATAAATAGTAATAGTCCTTAAGAAGTCGTCAATAATTCCATCAATACATTATACTACTCCGAAAGTGGCAGAGTGCACTGCATCTGGAAATGCCTTAGCCTAGTTGCAGGACAAAAGGTTAATCCATTGTATATGGGATTACATTTCCATCTCTTAAAATACAATCCTGAACACCTATGGGAATCGCTCTCTGTGGAAGAAGGAAAGACACGTTCACATCCAGCTTAACTGAGGAATTGTCTCTCTTCTTTTTCTTAGGTAACAAGAAGTGTTCAAAGAAGCGGTTTCCAAATGACATGATATTCACTGCTATTTCTTCTATGTTTCCTGAATATGGCTTCCCAGATGACATGAAAGAGAGGTAGAAGATCTCTACTTAAGCTGTCTGTTGCCTTTCTTAGCAAGAATTGAAATCTGTATTTCAGAAAACAGCACTGTGCTCTGACCAGAAAGTAGAGCTCAGTTGGCTGCAGGCACCGTGAGCAGAGCAGTTTCTGAGCATTAGAAACTTTAGTTTAGCCTCAGGGTATCTGGGCCAGAGTCCTACTGGCCCAGATAGTAATGTAGTCATGTAAAATGTCCCAAATTAGGAAAGCATGCACATCTGTGGGTGTTTCTGTTTGTCGAATAGGTACCGGGAGCTCACGGAAGTGTCGGACCCGAACGTGCTGCCGCCGCAGTGCACTCCCAACATAGACGGGCCGTGCGCGAAGTCAGTCCAGCGGGAGCAGTCCCTGCACTCCTTCCACACCCTCTTCTGCCGCCGCTGCTTCAAATACGACTGTTTTCTGCATCGTAAGTGCAGTCTCGGCCGGACGCTTCCCTAAAGCCCTTTTCTCCTCATTTTTCCTCAGTGCTTCATACCTCTGTACGCCTTGCTTAGTGTCTGTGCTGCAGTCTTTAGAGGGTGGTGCCTCCCCGGAGTTTGCAGTGGAGCCTTAGGAGCTGACAGGTGCCCAGAAGCCTTTTGTAAAGACGGCTCCACTCATTTCCTCAAACGGATGGTAAACCGACCTGCGTGGCCATCCCCTCTTTCTCACCATTGTTCAGCACGCCGCGTTTGAGCCTCCTGGCAGTTTGTGCCAGAAATACTGCCGCAACTAGACTTTACCCTTGCTTTGCAGAAGCTCATCAGGGAAAGGCATGAATGTTTCACTTCCAAAGTCTGGACATGCCCCTGTGTTTTGTTGCCTCACTGGAACTTACAGCTTCATCTTAGTCATGTTCCTGCGGTTTGTCCTGCCAAAGCCTTTTGGATACTGGTTAGCTGTTGGACCTGCTGTTTCCCAGGTCTAAGGGCTTCTTTGGAAAATCACAGGACTCCTTCCAGTGAATTATTTATTAAAAGATATAATATTAAGATCATGTGGTCTTTTTTTTCAGTCTGAAAGCAGATCTTTTTCCTATGGCCTCTCCTTCCCAAGTGTTCCCCCACTGCTGCTGAGTCCCCGTCACGGGTTGGAGCAGGGCTGGCCAGGAGGTCCTGCCGCCTTGTTCCCTGCTGCTGGGAGAGCTGCTCGGGCACTCTTGCTGACTGCCTCAGGCTCCCACTTACGTTCGTTGAGTTCGTGCTGCCCCTGTCCCTTGCAGCGTGGGGGGAGGCCCTTGGAGGATGCTAATAGTAAAGATAACTATTATTTTTTCAGCTTTTCATGCTACTCCTAATGTGTACAAACGAAAGAATAGAGAGACCAAGATCGAGCCAGATCCTTGCGGAGCAGACTGTTTCCTCTGGCTGGTATGTTTCTGCGTTGCTGCTTTCGAAACCACGAGAGAAGTGGCCTGGCCAGCCCTGCTCTGCAGAACTCTGTGGGTCCTTTTCACAACTTCGATGATTTTTCAGAATTAGTTCTAATCTTCATCGGATTCGGGGGAGCGTGAATCCAAATACAGACTTTACCAGATGCATATTTTAGCAAATCTCCAACGAAGACGAATTTCATAGCTAGCAGATGGGAAATTGTGGTGACAAATGATTTCTCTGGACTCAGTGCAGCGTTTGAAAAATGAAGCCCAGGTTAAAAACGCTGGGGAAGGAATCTAGCATATGTGGGGAAGGCTCGAACTGTTTTAAAAATGGTCTTTCAGAAATACAGCCTAGCTGTGTTACCGGGGATGAGAGCTGCAGATC